CCATCCCCCAGTACAGCCAAGTGCAGACCATCTCAAACACCTGCACTCAGGCCCATGGTCCTAATCATCCTCTATGCAAACCTGCTGGGTAACGCCACAAGGAACCCAAGAAGGGCTCCCACAGGACATACATTAACATCCCACAGCAAGGCATGGTGTTATATGCCTTTCATCCCAGTACTCTGAAGGTAGAAGCAGGCAGATCTCTGTGAGTTCAAATCCAGCTTGGTCTACATAGAGAGACTCTGTCTCAAAAACAAAACAAAAAAGAACAATCTTTCTTGAATTTACAAGCTGGAGTTAAAACATAGCAGGTTATGGTGAGTATTAGGCAAACCAACTCAATTAAGTGATAGTTTAAAAACAATGCCAGATACCCCAGTACATGGTTTCTTTTGGTTGCTCATTATCATCATCATTATTGAGTTTAGGTAGTAATATTTCTCTGGTGTTTCTGTAATACCCCAAATTAACCAGTAAGCTCCACCTGCCCAAGAACAAGGTAACTTCCTGGAATGCTGGGAGTTGTAGTTCTTGAAAAATAAAAACAAAGTCTCATGGGAAATTGTGGTGAAGTGTGAGTTTTGTCCCAGACTTGTGTCCCATTTGGCTGGAAGTTCCAGGGAGTGGTCCTGACCAAAGTCCATCTTGGCCAGTATTTAATATATTAATAAAGTTTGCTTCAAATTTGGCCCCGAATGGTGGGACTGGTTTTTCTCTGGCGAGTGTCAGGATTAACATTTCCCCTGGCTGAGAATCAGTGAGAGTGAGGAGCCTCTTGTACACACCCCTTTAGTGTCTGGCACTCAGTGAGTGAATATGGAAGGGAAGTGAGAGGAAACAATGATGATGAACAAGAACTGAAAGGTCAGTGTGCTGGCCACACACATGTGACTGTGACTCAAAGCAACAAAAAGTTGGATAGGGCCCGGCACACTTGGGTGGAACATCATGGTGGTGGGAACCTGTGGTAAGGAGGGTTTTTTTTTTTAAACAACAGTGGACAGGAGAAGGGAGGGAGCCAAGTGGGGACTAGGTACCACCTTTAAAGGCACAGTCCTTTAGAATAACACCAATGTCTGGGAAGCAAGCCTTCAGCTGATGAGCCTATGGGGGACATTTCACATGCAAACCACGACAACCAGAAAGATGGAAAAGCCGAGCTTGTAGGAGAAAGGGAGTGGTGCGGCTGTCACTTTCTTACCTTCAATTTCCTGGTCCAAAATTTACAACATGCAGACCAACATTAGAATTCACAGCATCTCACTTCAATAAAACATATTTTGATCATGAAGCAAATTCTGGAGGAGTAAGAACTAGGAAGATATAATTACTGTCTGTATTATTAATTCTGAATCATTAGACTTCCCTGCATAATCAGTAGTTTATAAGATGGAAAGATGTCAGAAAGACACATGAAATGATAAAGGCAGTTGGAAGCCTGACATCCACATAGCCATTTGTGTGAGGAAATAGGCTGTTATTTTTTCCAAAGGCATGGCATTTGAAAAATTCATGCTGTAATGAATAGAGGAAGAGTTACACATACAGTTGAAGAAATTCTAACCCTTTTCACATCCGCATAAACAAGCCTCTACTAAATGTCCTTTACAGAAAAGAGCAGGAACAATGCACGTAGCTGAGGAAAGTCTATAATGTTCTTTCCATCAGCCACGGATGCTATAAAGCAATAAAAATGAGAACTCTCCTGGGGATCTTTGCAGTTGAGGCTAAGAAGGCAGCTGCCCACAAAGCTAACTACCCTCCTAGCCAAATGTGCTCCTTTAAGTTCATTTCTTTTCACTCCCTCCCCACACCCCAAATCTTTCAAAGGTCAATGCTATCTTATCTGTTTGTATGCTGGGGAAAGGGGAAATATACACAGGCAGTGTGAGAAATTGACAGGAAGTGGAGTCCTCTTTGTCTTCCATGCTCTCATTGCTCAGTGCTGCCCAAGGGTACCTCAGCACAGATGACATGAGGATGGTGAGCCTCACTTCTGTAGTGTGCTCCCCGAAGAACTGGGAGATGCAGGAAAAGGGGAGGGGAGCATGTGTTCTGCAAACCTTAACCACATCTCTCTCCAGCTCAGATGCACACACATCCAGCTGCCCTGTATGCTGCACATTCTGCTTTCCCATGACTTGCAGCAGTTGTGGATAGACCCGTCATAGCCATTACAATCATTTTTGCAGAGGGATAAATTAGCATACTGAAATAATAAAATTCTGGGGCACATGGAAGGCTTCAGAACGCCTCCTGTCTATACCCTTCTTTTGAAGCAAGGAAACTGAGACCCAGTTAGACAAGTACCTGCATTTACAAGTTAATCAGCTCTTCTGAACCTCTGCTGAGAGTGGCCCCTACGTGGCAGCCACCCCCTCACACTGGAATTCCATTCCTTCTCCACATTCAGCCACCTGGGGTTTGACATGTTCTGACCTCTTGTCTGACTGTATCTTTTCCAACTTTCTATCATAAAATGTCAAGTTTATATCTATAATATGGTCATTTCCTCACTTGTGTTCCCTCTGGCGTTCATTGTTCTATCTACATCTAGGCTGTACTTTTATGCTCACGGTTCTGCTGCCAATTAGGACTTCCTCTAGTTAACCACTGGGCCATTGTAAAATGCAGTGTGTATCCTCTATCAGTCACATATCGCCACACCAAATGATGAGGAAACCATGGCAAATCGTTTGAAGGTTGGTACTATCTTATATGTCTGTAGGCTGGGGAAAGGAGGGAGGAAAGGAACCCTCCCCGGCCTAAGACAGCAAGGGCTCAGGGACTGTGTAGGCCGAGTTTATAGCTTTGCTCCCTCAACTGCTTCTTCTACTGCTTGGTCTCATGTGTCTGATATTTGACTGGTGTGTAACAAGATTGACAAGACTGACAAGATAGGCTGTGCCATGAGTGTCCGTTGTTTGGTAGACTTGCCTAGAACTGTTTTTATGGTGCTGGCGGGGGCCTTTCAAGAAACAGAAATGTGCCAGGATGCTTTTAAACCTTTGCCCTGGCTTCTCCCAGCAAGTCTATTGGTCAAAGCAAGCCACTTGATTTAGGCCACGGTCCCATTGACAGGACACTGCAAAGTGACAAAGCACAGGGATGAAGGGGTGGGGCCATGAATACGGTCATCTCACCACATGTCCAGAGTAAAAACTCAACGGTGACGTGGAAGTCACCGTATCATGGCTGCACGGAGCCCAGGTTGACTTGGAGGCGATGGGCTCTGATAGTGATTTATACCAGTGACCAGAAATGTCTGGTTTATCACGAAGAGCAATCACCAGCAAGTGACAACTGATGCTGATTTCTGCACTGAAGAACAGCCGGCGGTTGAAAACTATTTAATTCGATTTAATAAGCAATTCTTGACCAAGTGCGACGTGTGTGTCACGAGTGAGAAGCTTGCTGGCTGAGCAGCAGCCGGGTTACAAGACTCTAGGTGGGACCCTCCGTCTTTTCTAAGCAGCGTGCTGACATCCTGATAGACCCACAGGGTTTGAGTCCCATGAAGCTGGCCTTAGGGCTCCTTGTTTTAACTGGAGTGGATTCGAGGTCCTTAAAGAAAACATTGGAATTAATGAAGAGAGTGTGGAAAATTCAGCAAAGGAATGCTCAGTCTTTCTGTATCAGAGGTGGCCACCAGAGGGCGTCGGGACTGTTCACCGAGCAGTTTCCCACACAGGCTTAAAGCAGAAGAGGAAAGATCACAGGCGTCCTGCTACAATGTTTCAAAAGGGGACGTTTAAGGATCAGAGAGCTTAGAATATCTTAGAAGAGAAGCTAATAGATAATAATTTAAGAAATAAATGTTCATATTAAAAAGAAGCAATGTCAGCTTCTCACTCATTTTGTACGGAACAAGAGAATTCCTCTGACACAGAAACTCCAGGGTGTCTGTGTTCCGGTTTTACAACACTCGTTACCTTCAAATTTCCACTAGGTGGCGCTCCTGAGCCATAGTCTATGCTTTATGGCGTACATGAAGAAATGTGAAAAGGCTTTTATTTTGCCTTTTCCCCCCTTCAATTTTCATGACTTTTTTTTTTCAGTTTGAAAGATTGCAGAGAGGAATTATTTATCAGTTGGTATATTAAAGAAAATCTGGCATGTCCAAACAAGCACTTCAAAGGTTTTTAGTAACACCTATCACAAGGCTGAATTGCTATGAAGGAGGAGTGTAAATCCCATGATGGTATTTTATTATCAAAGAGAAATGGAAAGGGTTGTGTTTCTCTCTGTGAAGCCACGGTGACCAAATCGCACACCAACTGTTTGGAATGATTTGTTTATGAAGACATTTTAAATCAGATGTCTGGATTCTTGTAACTCAAAAAAAAATTTTTTTTTTTTTGGTTCAGAGTCGAGTAAGTCAGTGGTGATAGAAAAAGTGGAAAGATATACATTTCTAAGATATGTGAACAAAGTACCTCTTGCTTTGGTGGCTGACATAGATATCCAAATGCCGCTACAGATTGTACCTTGTGACTGTCACAAAGGTTCTAAAGGAAGAGAGGAGAAACTTCTCTGGCTCCTGAAATGTCATAGGAATTTCCAGTTCTTCACACTGGATAGGCTTGTTGCCACCCAAACCCCAGTAGAGGGCTGGTAATATCTTGTACCGGGCATCTAAGGTCATGTCCGTCAAAGATGTAAAAAAAAAAAAAAACCTGAGTCCTCGTCGTTCTCTTTGTTTGTGCCGTTGGAGCCCCAGAACACAGCCTGAGTGAGGACAGATCCAGAACCAGCTGCTTCTGTCTGGGCCTCTCGTTCTGCTGACAGCGTCTGCCTGTCCTCTGACGTCAGCTCCTGTGTCATAACTCCATGCCCCAGAGTCATGACCCTGCAAACTTGGCCTGCTTGTGGTGGTAAATGCTAAGAGCGTACAATCAGAAACTGTGACTCCCAGTTCAGGGCCAGCCTGCCTCTGAACTGTGTAGCTTGCTCTTCGAGCCTAAGTTTGTCTTTATCTGTAAAAGAAGAAAAGCGAGGGGACTGTTCATCCACACACACAGGAATCACTGCAGGAAGCTCAGGTTAACCTGAGGAAATAATCCTAGGTGGTACCTCGTGTCCCCTCCTTCACAGAAGTGTGGTTCACATGGCAATGATGCTGTGATGATCAGCATACGATGAATGCAGCATATTGCCAAGTTTTATTTTGAAATAGAAAAATCATGCTTCTATCTAATTGTGCTATTTTTGCTGTTCATTGAGGATTTCGTGGCATTTGCTCTCACCTGAATTGAAGCAGCTCAAATACAACGAAAGTATTCCATAAAGAAAATTGGTGTTTGTGGTATTAGATATGACGGTAGTAGCTACTGTTTTTAACTCTCGTTCTAAAGCCAGTGTTCTCTGTCTTTTCCATGTTTAAATCATGTACTTCATCTGGGAATGATATCCAAAGAGGGCTGTTTGAGGGGAAATTCACTGAAGGCAAAGTCAGATCGTGGCTCTGAGTCCATCTATTTGTTCAGCTCCTACTGGAGTGCTCCCCAGATGGAGTGTGTGTGATCTGCACACAGGATCCGGCTAGCAGTGGGTTTGGGTAGGTGATTTTGTTTCCACTCCTCCCAGGAGAAAATACAGATGTGCTGGTGTCTGATTCTCTTGGTATTCTAGCACTGAACCTCGGCAGGACTCAAGGAAGGTTGCCTTATCAGAAAGAAGGCAGAAATGCATAGGGCGGTGCTTTAAACATGGACATGTAGGAACCACACCGACTGGGTGTCTCTGGGGTAATTGTGTCAGGATGATGACGTGACAGGGAGGAATTCAGGGCAGCTTGGATGGCTTGGGTTTCTCCCAGCCTCAAGAAAGCCCTGGAGTACAGATCCGGATAGTATTGCTCCCTGTGTATCTCTGTGCCTGCCACATTTGCTCTCTCAGAAGGTCGGATAGGAAGGAAGCCGACTCTAGAAGCCACTGCTCTGAGTTCCTCTGCAGAAAAGGGCCCGTGGTAAAATGGTCATTTCCATCCCAGGGTTGGTTGGGTCATGTGCCCACCTTGATTTGACAACTCTGACCTCTGGTGTGGGGACTTCGGTCAGGAGTCCTCAAATGATCTGTCGTCTAGAGACTGGCATGGCATGTCTGTCTGATGTGGAAAGTGATAGTGTTGCCAAATGGTTATAGACAGGGACTGAGATCAGAGAGCCTTCTTCAATCCCTCCTCTTCCCTATACAACCCTGGGCACGTTGTATAACTCTCTCTCCATTAATTTCTTCTGCTATGAAATGAGAGTACCCACAGTGCTAGTAAGATAAAGAGTGAATGCTTGTAAAGTTGACAACACAATGCCCACAATGTAACTAGTAGTTATTTGTTGTTGAGATAATGATTAAGTGGCCCAGGTTTTTATCCTACTGTCTGGAGGTACTTGGCTCAGACTCTGCTGTTGTTTGAAGTTCTGAAATGGTCAGGTACCAGTTATGTCGTGGTCCCACCACTCCTACTTGACCCAAGTTAACAATTTATCTCCAAACAGCTCCAAGTCTGCCTGGATTAGTTACTTTTCTGTTGTTCTGGATATATATATATCCACAGAAGCAACCTAATGGAGAGAAGGCTCTATGGCTTACACTTCAGGGGATATATAGTCTCTCATGGTGGGGAAGACAGGGTAGTGCACAGGGAAGACACAGAGCAGGCTCTTGACTTGCATCTGCACTTAGGAAATGGAGAGTGATCAGGAGGTGAGGCACAGACTAAGCCTCATGGCATGCCCCCAGTCACCCTCGTATTCCAGCAAGGCTCTACCTCCTAAAGGTTCCACAGCCTTCCCAAACTTCGCTACCCACCGGGACAAAGTACTCAAATATCTGAGCCTATGAGGGACACTGCACATTCAAATCACAGCTCACCTCTGTCCCTCACAGACTCGTGGCCATCTCTTGATGCAAAATGTATCCAGTCTAATTTTGAAAGTTCTTTTCCTCTTTAACAGTCTCAGCAATGTTCAAAAATCCAAAGTCTGAAGTCTCTTCTGAGACTCGAGGCACACTCTTAGTTGTGACTCCCTATAAATAAAAATATATATACTGCTGAGATACGATGGTACAAAGTATACATTCATATCTGAAAAAAAGGAAAAATGTATTGGTGAAATTATTTTGGCCACTCCACATAGTTAAAAGGATATTTATTTAATGGTGTAACTCACAAATTAAGTAATAGGTAGGTCACAGGGTCTGGGGAAGGTGTATCGCAATCCAGCGGTGTTCTCTGGAGCTCTGCACAGCCCACCTCCACCTTTCAGCATCCCGGCACAGAGCACACAGAGAGAGCAGCTGGCCCATCCAGCTCTCCCTGGCCGGGCCTCGTAGGCGTGACAGTTGCCAGAGTCTCAATGGGGGTTGGAACTTCCAGATCCAAGATGGAATGGCTACCCACTACAAAAATGGGGCACAACAAGGGAAGATTGGATTGAAGCAAGATGAAACCAGGGCTGGGGGTGGGGGATCCTGCACCTCCGTGACTGGCATTTGGGATTCATGATGGAATCATTTCAGTTCCAACTGGCTTAAGTAGCCTTGCTGCCAGCTCTGCTGCTGTGGCACACAGAGCCTCTCTCTTCGGATGGGTCCACCCTGTGTAGGTCGTTTTTGTCTATGGACATCCCACTGGTTCTGGACTCTCATAATCCTGGCCTCTCCATTGCAACTCTGAGTTCGACCTTACAGTTTCTCAAGTGACCTCAGTTTCTTATAGTGGTATCAGGTACTCTGACCCTGTCACATATTTCTTGGTCTTAGTAGTTCTCTGGAAACTTGGTGTGGTGTAAGACTCTATGACTCTTTCAATCTTGTGTCTTTCATGTCTGTTGACTCAAGGGCATTAGGAGTCCTAAATGATGGGGGCGGGTGTTAGATCAATGGAATGTTTATTAGATCTCATGAGAAAGGGGCAACTCCCTGCCCTTCCTGGTTGCAAGCAGGAAGTAGGTGTGGCTATAAAGGCTGGAGACCTAACCCCTGTGACTCACTTCCTCCAGTGAGGTTTCACTTCCTGAAGGTTCTGCAACTTTCCCAAACAGTGCCGACTACTGGGAATCAGGTGTTCGAACACAGAAACCCACATCAGACATTTTAACCTTCTCAAAACTATGAAGGTTATAACTTTATCAAGGACTATTTCTACAACCACTGGGTCCTAGAAGTGGCAAAGATTCTCCATTCAGAAGAAACAAATAAATGCAATGCCATACTGTGAGAATCATTGCAAGACTGACTAAGAATATCATAGTATGATATTTCAAAAGTAATTTCTATCCAGCTATGGTGGCACATGCTTGTAATCCAAGCACATGGGGAGCAGAGACTGGAAGATTGAGTGTTCAAGGTCAGCCTCAACTTCATAGTGAGATCCTATCTCAAGAATACAAACAAACAAATAAATCCAAAAGTCCTTTATATTTCTAAATACATCATTATATAATAGATATATTAACTAGGATTGATTTAAATAAATCAGAACTTGGTGCTTAGGTGTTTTTCATTTAAGGAAGCTAATTGTGTACACTGTAGCACCTTGGGTGAGGGCTGTTGGCCACAAGTTGGCAATGGCCTCATTATGTAGAACTGGGCATTATAAATTGTAGTCATTAAGACAGGATTCTACTTTTAGTCAGGGGCAAGACACAAAATGCAGAGTTTCTCAAATTGGGCAATCTGGGCAAGATCCAGGCTAATGGAAGAGGATGAAAAGAAAGCAGCTTGAAAGCCCCTGTGGTTGGTGGCAGCATCAGAGAGTTCTGGTGGGTCCAGCCTTCCTGTTTGCATGCTTTCCCTGCTGTTCCTTTTGCCTAGTGACTGCCTTGCCTTTGATCATCTCCTCCTCCTCCTCCTCCTCCTCCTCCTCCT